AAAAAAAAAAAAAAAGCAGTTCTAGAACTCCAAAAGCCACCAAAGAGGCTGGAAGCAGCCCCAGAACAGTGCTCGGAACATCCCGGCCTCTGACCTTTCCTAGCTCCCTTTGCTTCGTGGGCCAATCATGCTGCCCCAGTTCCAGACCACTGTGTGGTCAGTTCATAGGGCAGTTGACAGCCTACAATTACCTTTCCTAAGCCCTGAAATCTCAACTGGGAACCATTAAGTCATTAAAAAAAAAAAAAGAAAAGAAAAAGCCTTAAGCATTAACTGCAAACAAAATAGTGATGGCCCAGTCTCTGATTAACAAAGAATCCAGAAGAGGAACATGGCATCTTCACAAAACCTCCAACTCTACCAAGAAGGTCCTAGATGTCCTGATGACACTAAGAACTGAAACAGGCCCAGGGGCTCTGGAAACTGGAAGTATTCCCGACCTTCTGCAGAGCCAGATGGCAAAAGACTCAGCCAGCCGAGATTTCTGGGTTCAGAGCACAGGGCACAAAAGTGGGCAGAGGCAGCAGGCCCTCTCCTGCTGCTGTGGGGCATCCTCCCCCGCCAACTCTGCAGACTCACTCAGAGGCTCAAATGGTCTGAGACGGCCCCTGATAGTGTCACCCACCCAGGAGTGCCAGTAGGGAACACAAGACCCCTCTTGGTCTTCCTGTGTGGGAACCCCTCTGGCTTTAGAGCTGCTCTCTGTGCAGCTGCTCCAGGAGATGACCCCATTTCATCAGTCTGCTGGGGCCCCAGCAAGCACTCACATCAGACAGGTGGACCTTGTTGCTGGACTTGTCAAACACTTCAATGGTGATCACATACAGGCGGCCAGTCTCGAGCACCCACCTGTCACCAGGGTGGACTGTGAACCCTAAAAACAGTCAAGAGGGAGAGGTCAGGCACTGGGTATGGAGGCCCCACAATTCTTCAATGGCCCCTACTTGGAGAAGCACTGGCTGTTGGCAGGGGGCGGGGGCTACATTAGCTCTGAGCCCTCAGCTGACTGGTTTCTGGGGACCAACAGTGAATGCACCCTGCTCAGACTACATAGGGCTCCTCAGACCGGGATCTGAAACTCAGCAGGTCAAGGCTACCAGGCCATAGCAGGTCTGGCAGAGCCCATAGAAGGCTAGACTCTGAGGCTGCAGTGGATGCAGCCTGAGACATACAAGAGAGTCCAGCCAGAGGCCGTGGCAGACCCTGCCATGGTACAGGTGCAGGTGGAGGCCTCGGCGGCTGTAACCTGCAGCCACAGCTGGTCACATCCCTGAGGTCAGCGAGTCAGGATCTAAGGGGACAGCAGGTCTAGCTGGAGGCCATGCAGGTCTAGGTTCTCAGGCCATAGCAGGCATCACTGGGAGCAATAGTGAGGGTAGACTCTCATGCTAAAGCAGGGCTGGGCTCTGAGATCACAGCACATAAATCAGGCTCTGACCCTTCCTAAAATAGAGATCCAGTATCTATAAAAGGTCAAGCCTGAGAACACAGTCAGTTGAGGCCCTGAGACTATGTATCCTGTCTGGGGCCATGAAAGTTCTGAGGCCAAAGCAGCTCTGGGAGCAGAAAGGTCCAGATCTATGGCAGTGACACTGAAACACTCAGGCCTGAGGCCATGCAGGTCCAGACTCCGAAGTCTCATGGGGAGTCCTGGAAAGCTTAGGGTCTGAGGCCAAGGAGGTGCACGCTGGGGTCATACCCAGGCAGGTCTTGCTCACCATCAGTACAGTCTGAGCCACAGCAGGTCCAGCCTGAGCACTAATAATGTCTAGATCATGAGAAACAAGGTCTAATCTGCGATGGTATAAGAAGCACACAGCTTGCCTGGAGTCTCGACACTCAGCCCAAGGCGGGTCTGGGCTTTTAGGCCATGGCATAGCAGGCCTAGCCCACACCAAGCAGGCCTAGGGTGGAGGCCACAATAGAACCCCCACCCAAGATGACGCTGGCCTCCCATAAGTCCCCCGAAGTCTTCCCCTGCGCTCATGTTACTAACTCCCTACCTCTGCCCTGCCGAGGTCCTCATGCCCTGGTGTCTTTTCATAAACCCAAGCACCATACCCTGTCTCACAGCCCCTAAAGCCCAGTGCCCAGCCCAGGCCAGGCACACAGAAGGCACTGAGGAACACTTCTGAGCCGATGCAGCTCCTGAGATGCAAAGAGCCGATGCAGCTCCTGAGATGCAAAGACCTCCTTCCTCAGTGTCACAACCTTGTCACTCAGATCTGCAAAAACAACCACTTTCCATGCTGGTGAATATGAGGACCTAGGGAGTGTGCTACACGTTAGGTTCTCGCGACTGAACAGCTTCAGTGTAGGCCTCTGTCTGAGAAAGGATGGGTTGCCATGGTAACTGTATGACATGGGTACCCACAGTCTCAACTGCTGTCCGTCACAGCAGCTTCGAGGCCCTGGCTGTGCCTCTCAGGGTGGTCACCACTGAATGTTCCTCTCCTCCTTTCTCAGACCCGTCTCCTTCCTCCACTGCTCTTCCTGTCCTGTGCTGCTTTGCAGAGCCCCCACCTGCCTGCTGGCCCTGGCCTTACAGGTGGTAGAAATGGTCAGGGTTGAGAGCTGTTGGCTCTTCTCTTTTTTCTTCTCTGTCTGGTGCTGAGGATCATACTCAGGGCCTCACACACGCTGGGTGAGCACTCACAGCTAAGACCCCAGCTGCTGTTTTGGTTTTTTAATTTCCTGAATTTGTGTACTCACAGCTGAGCAACACCCAAGAGGCCCCAGGATACTCACCCAAGTACCCAGGCTCAACCACGTAGATGGTGCTGTTGGGCAACCTAGAAGCACCCTGCATGCGGATACCTGAGTTCTTGATTAAGGAACAGAACACAAGACAGCAAGTAATCTAGCCGGCGGCCGCAGCGTAGCTCAGTAACCTGATAATCACACGGCATAGAAGAAGTGCTGGAACCTGCCCCAGCCCCAGCCTCAGCCTCAGCCCCAGCCCCAGCCCCAGCTCCAGCCCAGGCAGAAAGGAGCAAAAGCATCTCCCTAGGCAAAGGTCTTGCCGCATTGCTCCCCTAGCGAAGCAGAATCTCTATAAGGGACCCCAGTGGTCAAATGGCACACACATCCCTGGGCCCTCAGCAACACAGGTGGACGTGTGGAAACAGCTCCCCCAGCCCCTCTAGGGGTCTGCAGGCCCTGAAGTAGTCTCTATAGGAAGTGAAGACAGTGGGCTCCCCCAGCTAGCCCTCTCCTGGGCATCTCTCCAGCGAGTCACCCACAGAGGTGAGCAATTCCATGCAGCGGTGCTGCTATTTCAGTTCTTTCTGATTTTCAGACGGCTGGGGGAAAACAGGGCTATTTTTATCTTCGGCTGGCTTTCAGGGAGAGAAAAACAACTTGACTTCAAAGCAGCAGACATGACGTGCCAACGCAGACACCCTCCGCCTGGGAAGAGGATACTCCGGTGGCTGAGGACGAGGTTGCTCTGTCCCAGCTGCAAGGCGGTCACCCTCGATGTGTCCTGGGCCAGGAGAGCCACAGGCTGGGCAGGGTCTCCTTGCGGGCCAGGGATGCTGTTCTGAAGCTGCAGCTCGTATTGGTCAGAAGGCATGGAGAGTTCTGAGCAGGAAAAACAAACAAGAAACGCAGAGGGTGACAGGCAGTGAAAACGTGAACTGTCAGGTGCTGAGTGTCCTCCCGGCCTCCAATCTCTGGACCCTACTTGTCAGTACAGCTGTTGACAGTTTTGACTTAATTTCTCAGTGCTTTACGTTTTAATATTATTCTCGATGCCTGTGGACAAAGCTGACACACCATGAATTTTCAGAGGCAATCAGTTTTTTTTGTCACTGCCGTAAACTTTCTTTCTTCTTTTTCTATTTGACAACAGCCTCTGCCTGAAATTGCCAATTACTTGAAGAATGCTGACACTAGACCATTTCTTGTCACTGCTGAAGTGGGTGAGCTCTTTGCTTCCACACCCATGGGGGCTGGGGTTCTGCCTACCCTCTTGGGTTCCCACAAGTGTACATGGTCTTCCAAGGGGATTTGCCAGCTGGGTCTACAACTGTAAAGATCTGACTATGTTCTCAGTGATCCCTGCTCTGCCAGGTCACATGCATTTTATGGAGGAAAGACTTGGCCAATGTGGGCCAGGATGGACAACTTTCCAGGAAATAATGCATTTCGTGAAGGACACTGTTTCCCTCACCCCACAAGCACAGAGCACTTTTGATACAAAATGTGGGGCCTGGGTTGTATCTTGGTGGTAGAGTATGTGGGAGCATCTGCATTCTATCCCCAGCACAAAAGAAAGATAGAAACAGGAAGGACAGATAGATGGACAGATGGATGGACAGACACAGACAGACAAGCAGAAAAAGGAAAACAAATGGCACCTGATGACCAAGGAATGAAGATGCCTCCAGACTCACAAGCTCATCCCCTCATCTCAGCCCTCCACAAAGGGGACAGAACTACAGACCCCCACCAGTGAGCTGAGGGGCAGAGGAAATGAAGCTCAGCTTCCCCATGCGCTGTGGTTTGTGCCCTAGAAGCCAGTCCCCAGTGTGTAGGAACCAAGGGTGCTTCTTTAAGAGGTGGAGCCCTGTGGGAGGAAGGGGTCAGGTCACTGGGAGAGAGTTGTTAGAAAAGCCACATGTCTGGCTCCTGAACCTCTCTGGCTTCCTGTCTCCTCACTGTGCCATCTTGCCCTCTCACACATGCTTGTGCCATGAGGCCACAATGCAGCCAAGGAAGCTGCGAAGCCAAACAGAAGCCAGCATCACATCTCTGGGCCTCCACAGCCACAAGCTGAATAAGCCTCTTTATCCTGGAAAGTAGTAGCCATGGGGATTTTGTTTCAACAACAGAATACAGACCAAGAAGGGGCCCTGTGGCTGTGAAGAACACAGCAAAGACCCCCTCTCCAGCATCTCGACCACTTCCACACTCCCTCTCCTGAGGCCTCTGTTGGGAGCCACAGAAGCTGCACGTTGGTCAAATGTGTGGCAGTGGGACTAGGCCTCAGTGCCTAAAGCAGACAAGCTACCTCAGTCCTGACAAAAGCATCCTGACTGGTTAGTGTCAGCTACTAGTCACTAAGCAAACTTGTGTTGTGTGACAATAACTTTGCAAAGGTATAAATAAATGCCCCGACTGCTGTAGTGTTGGGGGGGTGGTTTGCCAATCAGTCATGGGCCACCACCTGACCCCGCTCTTGTCTTCTTGTCTTTTTCTCATTCCTACTGCCATTTCTCCCTATGGTGTACAACAGATCCCATCAAACCAATGGATCCCTACAGGCCTTAGAATGTTCCACGTAGCCTTAGCTCACTGTCACCTGTGGCCATGTCCTGCCCTCCAGTCAGAGAAGGGGTGGGAAAGAAGCCTGTGCAGGAAAAACCCCCAGGTTGAGTCTCTGGAAGGTATTATAACTAAAGCATCTTTCAAATTAACAATTCTGATCAGGATTCTGGAAGACAGGTGGCACACTCTTCTCCTGCCCTGAACTGTCACTGTTCTGCTCCAATAATTTGCCCCTAAATCAGAGGGTTCTCTGAGTATAGTCCCTGGGCCACTGGGCCACCTGACACCTGCCTGATCTTGCTGGTAGAGCTGATGCTTTGTATTCACAGGAGTCCCTAAGGCAGCCCTGGACCCTGACACAGGCTGAGACTGAGAATCCCTGAATATGTCCCTTAGCACGCACATACTATTCCCTCCTGAAGACAGGCAATGGCTCTGGCGGCTGGTGCATCATGTTCAAAATACAGCAGCACGGTATCATGAACACAGATCACAAGAAAGTCACACAGCTTCAAAAGGCAACATGACTGGATATAGCTTCCTGGGATACAAGATTCATCCCTAAAAAAGTTCTGTATGCAGGTCATCCCCTCCCGGAGATACAAATCCTATGAAAATAAGGGGCTCCTCTCACAGACTCTTTCCAAACCTCTCATGATATGGCACCCAATATCTGTGAGGGCTACCATAAGACAGCCAAAGAGCAAGTGTGCCTGGGGTCCTAAACCCTTTTACACCCAAGTCTTTGCCACATGAGCCCAGTCCACCACCATTTTTGTCACTGCTTGTCCTGCCTTTGTGTAACCAATCCCAATCCCAACAGGATTGAGGACAGCAGTCTGCCCTGCATTACCACAATGAAACACCAGAGGCACTCTAACATTATAAAGAAAAGAGGGCTGTAATCCCAGCACTAGGGAGAGTCCAGCCTGAACAATTTAGTGATTTGGTGGCATCAGTCTCAAAATGAAAAATACAAATAAGTCTGGGGATGTAGTTCAGTATGCAGATTCACAACCCAACCAAGAGAGGGACAAAACGGATGGGATGGGATGGGGTGGGGTGGGATGGGATGCGGTAGGATGGGATGGGGTGGGGTGCGATGGGATGGGGTGGGGTGGGATGGGAGCAGCTCAGAGGCAGAGTCCTTGCCCAGCATGTAACAAGGACTTGGGTTCAATACCTAGCACCTCAAAAAAAAAGGAAGGCGAGGGGAAGGGAAGTGAGGGGAGGAAAGGAGGGAGGGAGGCAAGCAAAGAATTTTGGTAGTCTCTCTACCTCCCAGTCCTGCAGACCCAAGGGCATGGCCCTGGCACTGGCTGAGCTCCCATGAGGCCTTCACTCCGACTACAATGATAGGAGCAGGGGCAAGAAGGAGGGTCACATAGTCAGGCAGGGAGCAGAAAGAAGCTGGGGGGAATCAGGCTCAGGGTCCTTAAGAGGCTCAATCCCTTTCAGACTTCAGTGATCTCAGGACCAGCCCCCTCACTCTACTTCACAGCTTCCCACAGAAAGAACTAAGACTACAATACTCAAGGTTTCTGGGGACCAGCCACATCAGCGCCAAGGATGTAGAGCTACTAGAGTCCATTGTCCCCCACAACTGCCCCAGCTCCAAGCTCCAGGTGCCCCCTCCTCTCCCTGCCTTCCAGAAGAGAGGGGTCCCAAGACTTCCCTATCTTCTTCCTGCCCTGGACTGACCTCAGGAAGCCCAGTACCCACCAAAGTGTTGGCGCACAGTAGGTGTTCATTAAATGCATTTTAAAAAGGAAAGCAAAGAGAAAGGCAGAGGAAATACAAACAGAAACACAGAAAGAAAACTCAAAAGAAAAGAAAACCTTGAATTAACTTGGAGGTGTAGGATCCAGCATGGAGAAGACCATGGGCCGTCACCCACCTGCAACTCCCTAAGCAGCCCACAGAGGCCCCGAGAGAGAAATCTGTGAAAGCCAGGTCCCAGGGATGATGCCAATCTCTGCCTATTAAACATGACAGTGGTGTGAATTATATTTCAATTATCAAACCCTACTGAAGGAAAATGAGGACATTGCCATTGTTGTCTCACCAGCTGCCTAAGACCCTGGCAGGCCAGACCTTGGGCTCCCAGGCAACCACCCGGAAGCCACTTGGGGCCCTGGCAGCTGTCTCTCCGATCACTTCTTTCCTACTTACTCTGATGTATCTTTCACAGGCTCCAGTGTTTTGACTTTGATGGCAGATCAGTGACCAAATCCCCCAGTTGCCTGGTCCTTCTAGAGGTGGGTCAGGAGTACCTGACCTAATGCAAAGGGAGTTCTTCCTGTGATCAACCCAGCCCCAGCCCCAGAGCTTGAGGACTCCCAGGGTATTCATGCCTTAGTTTACACATCCATAAAATGGGTTTTTGTAAAACCCATCTCATTCAAGTTCTTGAGTCACAACACACAGAGGCCCCAGGATCTTTCCAACCATCAAGAAGTGCCTAGTCATGGTGAAGTAGCATCAGCCACACCTGGCCTTTCCAGACCCCTGTTCTCAGATCCCAGTAACATTCTGGCCTTTCAACATCCTTCCTCCTTGCACTACTCCTGAGAATGCTGCACTGCTATCTTCAGAGCTCCACCTCTGAGCTATAGAAAGCCTCAACTAGGGTGGTCCTCACCTTTCTAGAACCTTCTTTATACCAAAGCCAGGCTTCATACACAACCTTACCCTCTGACTCAAACACCAAGCAGAGGACAGATGGCACCTGCCTACCACATGGCAGCCACCCAGGAATGATGAGCTCCTATCCCTTGAACTAGGTCCCTTGTTAGAGAGGACACAGAGGCAGGAGCAGACTGTCCCAGGCACCCTCGGCCTTAGGAGAGACTGAGTGCCCTGCCACCCAGGAACAACTAGCCCAATGTGCTGCTAGCAGCTGAGTGGGGCTTTGATGATGTGACGTCCTTCAAGTCTCCATCTGTGGGCAAGGGCTCAGGTGACCTATAGGTGAAGCATCTCCATGCATCCTCACAGGGAGACCCCACATCACAGGTGGTGAAGTCATCCGCCAGGATGCATGTCCAAAGCCCTCGTGAGGACAAACCTACATACGCATTCTGGTACCTGAGACTCCTCATGCCCTATGTTCTGGTGGAATCACACGTGTGTAAGTGTGAACAAAAGGGTCACAATTCTTAGAACAGTCACTCTCTAAATATATCTCATATTCTCAGTGCTTTAGAATTTCCAGAACAACCCCACTCCTGCCAACCCATGCTGTCCTCGAAGATGGGCAGAAAGGCCTCCAGGGCTTATGTGGGAAACAGAGTCCTGGGTGAGGGTGGCTTGCTCAAGTTCACGTGGAAGTCGGCAGCACACCACCACCAAAACCCATGGGAAGCCCATGGCTCGAGTTGCTCAAACTGAAGGGATAAAGATGCCAAAGAATTGGAGCAGAGACTCAGGTATTGGCACAGGACATTCACAGTGGCATCTGTCTCAGTGGCATTATTCACAGTGGCATCATTTACAAGAGCCAAAAGATGGGTCCACGTGTCCACCAACAGAAGAGTGGATGTATAAAACGTGCTCTCATCCATACAATAGAATACTGTTCAACATTTAAGGGAATTCTGCACATTTCAACATGGATGGGCCTGGAGGACAGGATGCTGAATGAAATAAACCCAACACAAAAGGTCAAACACCATAAGATTGTTCTTCTAAGGGATCCCAAGAGGAGTTAAATTCATGGAGACATAAAGTAGGATGGTGGCCATCAGAGGCCAGGATAGGGTAATGGGATTTCAGATTTCATGAGGACAGAGTCTGAGAAATTGGGAAGTTATAGAGACGGGTAAAGGTGACTGATGGCCAGAAAGAAAGAGAACGTTTTAAAGCCACTGAGCTATGTACTAAACATGGTTGATGGCCAACTTTTTTGTTTGTCTGGTGCAAGAACTGAACTCAGGACATTGCACTTGCCAGGCACATGTTGTGTTTCTGAGCTACATCTCTGGCACCGATGATGGTCAACTTTCTGCTGGGTGTATCTATCACAATTAAGAAGGGCAGAGGGTAGACCCACCTGTAATCTTCCCCTGCCTGACCTTCTGCACCTTGTAGCAAATGGAGGTCCCCGCCAGCAGGTAGACGTCATGCGCTGGGTTCAGGAGGATGTTTTCCAGAATCAGTAGCCTGACCTCAGCAGGGCGCACACTCTTGACACAAGAAAAGGACAGAAAAAGTGAGGTGAGCACAGGGAGAGAGACATAGGAAGAGGTGGGCAGGAGAGAATTTGTGTTTTCAGGGCTGGGGATGAGCCCAGAGCCTGGCACAGGCTAGGCAATGCTCGGCCGCGGAGCTACACTCTTGGTCCTGGCAGCTCTGCTTTGTTTTTAACTTCCCCATATGTTCCTAAAGGAATGGGTATGTGAAGGTGAAAAAACAAGATGCCACTCTCTGGCCCCAGAGGAACCCGTAGTTGTAGCGGACATGGACTCAATGGGCATTACCAAAAGTCTATGAGCGCTGCACTCCGCGTTGATCTAACTAACGGCAACCAAACAGAAAGAAAGGGAGGAGCCAGGAGGGAGGCTGCGGCCACCAAGAGCTTAGTTCTCACCCCACAAATCCAGGGAGGCTGAGCAGGCCCAGGCCAGCTGCAAAGGAAAAGCACTGTGTGTCCAATGAGCCCTTATCTTGGGCCCTGTCCCTTGGCCTGCCCACCCCTCATCCCCATGTCCTCCTCAGGAAACACTGTGGAACATGAGATGGGAGAAGACCTCATGGTGCCCTACTAAGTGCAACCTCAAGGTATCAGATTCCACAAGGGCCGGCGCCTCCTATTGGGAGCTACTGATAGCCTGGAAAGCTGCAGGAATGAAAGGCAAAGCCAGTGATTCTCAGGGGCAGAAATGCAAAGGCGCTGTCCCTGTGGAGGTGCAACTGCTATCACCTTGCGGATACTGGGCACTACTGCATCTCTACAAATTCACCTTAGAAAGGACAAACACTCCAACACACCTGATGTTAAATTCAGTCTCTGACACATTACGGGGACAGCAAGCCCTTCCTGTGGGCCCAGGCTCTGTGGTAGGTGCTTTCTAGCCCATAGGCTGAGAAGCTCACTTACTAACAACACAAGGGACAGTGGGTCTGTCATCCACCCTAGCCCAGGAGCCCAAGATGGACATACTGCCTCCGGGTACCATCTGCAGAGTCCTGAGGACAGGCCCCAGTGACTCAACATGTCCTGTTGCCAGAACTCTACAGGATCCCCAACTGGCTAAACCACTAGAGACAGTAGGGCTAGATCAGAAGAGGACTGCGCTTTGTCCACCACTTCACAAAATTCAATGGTGGACAAAGTTCCCTATGTGCCTGCCTGTGCTCCAGAACTAGGGAGATGACAGGAAGATCCCAGGGCTGTGGTCCAAATCGAAGCTTGGGCTCGAGGAGAAACCAGGACCTGGGTTAGGCCTGCACCTGGTTCCCCACGGTCTCAGGTCTCAATCTCTCCCACTGCCAGCTTCTGTGGAGAAGGAACAAGAACCCAGCTCTCCACAAATCAGCCCACTGGGTGGGGCTGAGCAGGGGTTCAACAGGTAGTGACAGCATGGGGTGGGGGCACTAGGTCCTGTTTTATCGCTATATTGCATAGGGTAGGGAAGGGGCACCCGTTAGAAACGAGCAGTTACTGAGAATGTTCTGGGAAGTCCCTCAAAACTGAGATCGAGCACTGACTCCGTGACCCCAGAGACAGGGACCTCAGGAGCCTCCCTCTGCCATCTCTTCCAACAAAGGCAATCAACACACAGATGTCGTAATGCTGCAGAGCAGGCTCCCCTACCCAACATATCCGCAGGTCTGAGCAGGGACAGGCCCCATAACCCACCTTGTAGACAGCCTCCTGGATGCGAGCCTTGAGTTTGGAGCTCCCAGTCTTCATCCCAGACACCAGAACAGTGTCCCCCTGCTTCGCCGCCTTCTCCATCTCCGAGATGTAAGAAGGAGGGATGTAGGTAGACTCCAGGAAGGTAAGGATTCTGGGAAAGGAAGTTGTTGTCAGACCTGAATGTCAGGTACCTCAGAGTCTAACACAAGCTTCGCCATTATGGGAACCTCCTTGTGGGCTTCTGGATGCTGGAACACGTGGTAGTCCCCTCTCCACACAGTGCTACCTAGAAACATGAGCCTGCAAAGAACTATCAGCATTGCCTTGTGCCCCATGAAAAGTGCACTCTTCAGCCCAACCCAGCTCAAGTCAGAAGCCTGGAAACTGACCTGTATCAACACTCACACTGATATGCATTCAACTGGGAGACAACTGGCTCCCCAAAAGAGGAAAGTGGAGCCCACGGAAACCAACCCCCAATCTGGTGCTAGCCAAAGAGGGACCCCATGCGACCCCAGGAAAAAGCTGAGGCTGGCACACAGGGCAGGCCTGAGAGGTCCCTCTCTTTTAATTTGCAAATGAGCCCAAGGTTTTGCCCAAGTGAGAGCGATCTGCCTGACACGTGTTCGTTCACTCTCTCCAGGTCACCTGGTGCTGCGTGCCACACGATTTACTGCCTCATCCAGTTGTCAGGTGTCCCCTGCTGCATCTTCTGAAATCACAGGACAGTCTGGTTTCAGCATGCCTCAGTATTCCAGCTCTTTGGAATATTCAGTTCACCTACTAAGCTGCCTGAAAGCTTAGGGAGTAGGGGGTCAGGACAGAAAACAGGCCTGGTGGCCCAAAAGTTGGCAGGAAGCAGGGAAACTCTAAATCTCCAGCATGCTCCAGGCCCCACAAGGGGTCTGGGCTCCCAGCCAACTGCCAACCTGCCTAGTGGCCCTCAGAGGTAACCACAGTGATTATGTCTCACAGGGGAAGAGGCTGAGACTTAGACAGGTACTGGTCCTTGGCAAATGCCACAGGCTGGAAGCAACAAAGCCAGGATTAGAAGCCAGGCCCTATGACTCTAGGGCCTATGTTCCTACGCGTAGGGACTATCTGAACCTCAAAGCTAGTCCAGAAGCCAGGTGGAGGGTAAGGGTCCCAGCCCCAAGAGATTTCTCAGCCCAAGAAGACAACTCAGCCCACTGGGCGAAGGTAGCCTTGGGAGTGAGGACACCTGCCTTGGACACAGCCATGTGTAGAGCCAGACAGAGAAGAGTGTGGTGGGGTCCCATATCACTACAGCCTGCTTGGCCAGAGGGGGACTTTTAAAGGTGGAAACAAGATCAGAACCTTAACCCCTTCCGCCCTGAAGTCCTTATTAACAACCATAAAAGGGCGAGGAAGCTACTTTGTAGGGGAAATGGCTTCCTGGCAAATGCCACCTCTCCCAAGTGACCCCAGTGACCATTGGCTGCCATGGGCTGACAGGAACAGTCACTGCTTTCAACTTGAGCTGGATTGGGCTCAAGAGTCTGCACTTTTCATGGGGCACAAGGCAATGGTGACAGTTCTTTGCAGGCTCATGTTTCGAGGTGGCACTGTGTGGAGAGGGGACTACCACGTGTTCCAGCATCCAGCAGTCCATAAGGAGGGATACTGATTCCTGCCCAGCACACAGAGCTCCAAATTGGACAGGGGCCTCTAGGGTGCTCCCAGGAGATGGACCACAGCCATGGAAGGCTCCACTCCCACTCTGTCCAGGGTATCAGAAATGAACTTTTCACTTTGTCAAATATGAATTTAAATAGCCAGATAGAGTTATGGCTGCCAAGTTGGATAATGCAGATTTACACAGGTCTGAGTTCAAATCCCAGTCCTGTCGCTTAGCATTTTCCACTCCTACAGACGGAAAATGCAGAGGAGAGAGCTATGGCCAGCCCACCCAGTTGCAGCAGGGATGAGAGAGTCAAGACACTTGAGGTGTCTGTCTGCTCCCATGCACAGGAGCCCAGCTGGCCATGCTCCCAGCTGAAACCTGCCTCCCTCTAACCTGCTCCCCACCAGGAACACCGGCTCCCCACAAGGCCACACACCCATTCCCTGGTGTGTTAGACGAGACAGCACTGTGTTCTCTGTGTCGTCTCCTGTCACCAGCTAGACATTCCAGTCTCTATGCCACGCTCCCACAGAGCACACCGGAAACGTCCAGGTGGCTCCACAGCTGGGGGAAAGGAAAGTCTTGCCCTGCAGTCACCAGGAATGTCTGTCACCAGCTTCTGGGAAGGATCCTGGATGTCCACAAAAGGCCCATGACGTCCTCTATCCTGGGTCCCCCTATCCTGGCCAGACCTCATCAAGGTGCATCTTACCGTAGTGCATTGTGGGAGTCTGAGAAACCGTCTGCCTCTGTGTCCTTTACAATCGTCCAGTCAAAGACCAATCCTGCCAGAGTGCTGAAGGTGTTCCCTGGAAGAGTAGACAGACAGGAGAAATTCTGTGGAGTTAGAACCCATGTAAGGAGATACAAGAAGCACACTCAGTTACCTACAGGAACCATGCTCAGCACTAACCCTACAGAGCAGGTGTCCAGCTGCCATCTTAGGAAGAGTAAATGAAGATGGAAGGAAAGATGCCTCTTGCTCATAGACATGAGCAGGATGAATTGGGCCAGGATGTAAACCCAGGCCAGCCTGAGTGAAAGTCCATGTTCTTCCCGCTGTACCTCCCAGCCTCTGGCTGCTCCCAATGGACTCGGTGTAGATATAACACCACCGCCCTCCCATCTGTGAGCACTTTACAGTTTAGGAGGCAAAGGAGCAAGGCAGGAGAAGCAGTGTCCAGCAGCTGCTTTCACATAACTTTCTTGTCTCTTCTCCTCAACTGTGACACTCTTGATGTCCCAGGGTTGGGGGACAGAGAGCCAGGCCTGGCCAGCCTGAGGTCTGAAGGCCTGGCTCACAGCCTGTGTGCCTTCTGAGCCACTGTTCCACTCAACCATTACCACAGGCAAATCCCACTCCCACGATGGCCTGAAAAGCCCAACTCTGGCCACTGGGTCTCATCCTCTGTTGTCTAGGAACTGCCTCTGCTCTCCACACGGAACCACATTCTCAGTGTTGCCACACTCTGTCCCCCCATCCTATTCCACATTCCTCATCCACATTCCAATAAGCCAGCCCCCAAACAGACACAGCAGGGGATCTCCAAAGGCTCTTCCCATAGTATGAAGGGGTACACTCTTTAGAATGGGACAGACATATGATCCTGCCTGTGCCCACCCAGGACCCCAAACAGTCCAATTAAACCCCACTTAATGGGAGCTCCAGAAAACAGTGCTATGCTTGCTGTTAGTCACTGGGTTCTGTTTAGGAAGGGACTCTGTCCACGGTCCCTTAGGTGTCCTCCCACCAATGTGAGGAACTGGTCAGCAAGGAAAAACCTCATCTGGATGATGTGCAGAGGGATCATTTTTCTTAGAGGTCTGGGGGAGGATTTGAACCAATGAAAGTGACAGGACCCCAAGTATTCTGATTTAGGGCATTTGTCCTAACATCCTTAGGTAAGGAAGGCAAATACAAAACCTCTACCACAGAAGCACCGCAGCTGCCAGAAACTCAGGAGCCCCCTGCCGCCTAGGGAGGGCTGAGGCCTTCCTTTGATACCACGGGACAAGGTGCTCACCTCCTCACAGCACAGCTCCTTCCTCTGCCCAACACCCCTGACCAGGAGAACTTTATTCCCCCAGTGGGCTACAACAGTGCCCGTAAAGCATAGCCAGCCCAGGGCCTCAGGGCAGAGGCAAACATGGCGACTTTGTGGACCGACCCCTGTGACTGAAACAGTTTGAGAAATAGTCATGAGAGACTCAGTATGAAAGCACTGGAGGCAGTTGTTATAAGTTTCTACCTTGATGTCCCTCAAAGCTTCACACGCTCCTCGCTCCCCGGTAGGGCCTAGGGGAGGTGATCGGATCCTGGGGGTGTTACGGCTGTCAGTGGGCTGGTCCACTGCTGAGCTTATAGTGAAATGTGATGCTGCAGGTTGACATGGGGTGAAGTGGTATCACTGGGGGCGTGGCCTGGAAGGGTTCACCTTCCTCCTCCTCCCTTCTTCCTCTGCTTCCCACCCCCTTGCTGTGAGTAATTCTCTGCCCCTCTGCTGTGCAGCCCTGCTTTGGAGCCAGCTGACTATAGACTGACACTTCGACCAAGCGTTAGCCAAGATAAACCTCACCTCCTTTAACCTGCAGGTCCCAGTGAAGAGGAAAACAATGCTCCCCTGATTCCCGTCCACTCACGCCTTGCACACCAGCACAGGGGTTTCCACCCAGCTCACCTCCAAGCACCACTGCTGCCTTGCATAAAGCAACAATGAAAATACCCACTCGTGGGTTTGCTGGGAGTGTCACCTAGAAGGCGCTGGTCACTACTACCCTGTCATAGACAGGAGACAGAGGCAGCAGATGCCCTGCAGGGGAGCCTGGTGGGAAGTCACATGCCTTGACATTTCAGCAGATGCACATGGAGCTCTGTCTTTAGCATCTTCGCTTCCTGTCTCCCCTGGGAGCCCACCACACTCAAAGCTGGGAGAGGAGGAAGTGGGGTCCTTCCAAGAGCAGGAAGGTCCTCTCACTTCTGAGTTAGCTGACTCACACAGCTGCATGTGCCAGGCCCTCCACGTAGATGAGAATGCCAGGCCACTTGCTCAAAAAGCAGAGAAAAGTGCCAGAAGCCTGGGAGGGGAACAGGAGAGTCCCAGACAGGTGGCTGAGAACCCATCCCAGGAAGCAGGGAGGGGGGCAGGAAGCAGGACTGTAAATTACTATGGCTCCGTATCCCCAACACACGCTTGCCTGTCCCATCAGACTCCACCTTCAAAATAGTCTAAAAGAAATTCATTAAACATGTCAAGGCAGCACTGGCTGAGCACTGAACCAAGCCTGGGCCCTGAGGAGCCTGTGGCTCTGGGTGAAGCTAGTTGTGTGGGCGACATGCGGAGACTGACTTCCAGCTGGCGAAATACAAGCAGGAGAGACCACAGTGTGGCCACTCATTTCCATCCTCTGACCTCCAAGAAAGGAGGGGATCAGGTAGGTCCCCACTCCACAGAACAGGCCCAAGAGGGACACATTCTGAGGGAACTCTGCCAATCTGGAAGGAGAGGGAGGTGGCAAAATGGTTTCAAGAGAACTCTGCCCAAAGGTGTTCTCCATTCACGGGTACCTACTGCATGAGACAGACAGCACCCTTGATCCTGAAGTCTGACAGCTGAGGACAGTATTAACCCAGGCACCCAGGGCCCCAGGCACCAGGGGACACGCCTCTGTCCCAGTCCCAGGAGCACCACAAAGAACATTAAGCAACCTGACTGGACAAACATTTATTCGATGCCTGTTGGACTTAAAGTCCAGTGTCAAGCAGAAACATTCAGAAAAATGAACTGATCCCGACTCTCCCCACCAAGGGCTGAACTTCATGACCCTGACCTCCTCCAGTTCTACCAGAGTACAGGGCACGTGAGGGCTGGGAAATCATTTTGGAAGCATGGACTCAAGGCAGCCGTGCTGCAGACAGCCTTGGCCTGAAGCTGCAGTGGGGGTGCAGGAGTCACTGCTAAGAGAGCACCTGCAACTATGCCTTACAGTTTGGGGCCTGATGCCCCAAAGGCCATGTGCTGAACCCTCACTTGTAGCTGTGACACACAGCAGTGGCTCAGGAGGTGGGCCTGGCAGAAGGAAACAGAGTCCACAGGGACATCCCTAGAGGAGGATACTGGGACTACAGCCCCCCATCCCTCTCTCTTGGCCACCCAGGCTCCATGAGGTGAGCTGCCTTCCTCCACCATGCACTGCAGCCATGATGTGCTGAGGCCAAAGCAGCAGGTGTGGATGGACACCTCGGAAACCGTGAGCCCAAATGAACCTTCCTCAAGTTCACTCTCTTAGGTGCTTTTACAGCAACGAAAGGCTGACTGTTACACTAAAGGTAATAGCTTGATTAAGCTCACAGCTCTGGAGTCTGGCACTCCAGTATGGGGCTACCACATCTGGCTCAGGCTTGTGTCAATTCATGTTTTAACCCAGCAGCAGAGCAAAAGGAGAAGGTGGGCAGCATGTACAGGCACCGGTGCCTGAGTAAATGCAGAAGAGACAAAACACAAACAAAAGCCTTAGGACTGGGGAGATAGTTCAGTGGCCTAAGCACCTACCTGGCAAGCATAATGACCCAGGTTCGATTCCTGGTACCACATGCTGTGCCAGCCCTGAAACCCCAGGCATGCCATGCCGGCCACTGAAACTGGGCGTGGTGGCACATGTCTGGAATCCCAGCACTGGGGAGGCTGAGACAGGAGGATCACTATGAGTCTGACCTGTGTAGTGAGACCCTGTACCAAATAAACAATTAATTAATTTAAAAAATTTAAGAGTGCCTCATGTAAAGAAGTCATGTCGTCGGGTGGATAGTGTCCTCTAAGGGGACCAGGACCCTTCTCCTGCCGTGCTTCCTAGCCATGATGAAATGAGCAACTCCCATCATCCATGGCTCCTGCTGTGATGTTATCCTCATGTCCTGCCCACGAGTAACAGAGGCAGCCAACCAAGCACTGAAACCTCAGCAACCACGAGCCAAAATCAATCCTCCTTCCTTCAAGTTTCCATCAGAGCAACAGAAAGCTAGCACATTCCCTCACTCCCCTTACTGAGAGGTCACGCTGCAGCTCATAGTATGATGAGCCTCAGGGGAGGCTCCCTAGGAGAACTGCAACCCAACAAACTGCCATCTGATGCTGCCAGGTGGAGGGAAGGACAGTGTGCTGAGAGGGCAGCGCAGAGGTGTCTCCCTGGCCTGTCCACGTGCGTATGAATGTGCACATACACATGCACAGACGCACAAGCACACATGTGTGCTCAAGGCTTGGCCAGGAGGCTAAGGCCAGCCTGAAAGCCAAGCAAGAGAATAGCTCCGGCTATCACAACGTAGTCATCAGCCAGCCGCAGCCACACCTCACCCCTGCCCAGAATGTGGGCTCCCTGAGCCAGCTTTATTGCACAGGCCTAAGACTGCCCCAGTGTCCGCTATAGCCCCAGGTGCATAATCCAGGCTTCAGGGACACAAAGCCCAAGGAACGGCCATTGGCTGATGGCTCCAAGAAGACAAGTCCCAGCTTGGAGTGTTTTTATCTCTTCAACTTCCCCCCTGGCAACAATGTTTTCTTTCTGGCTGGAACAGCAGAGCTGGATGGGAGATGACACAGTGACCAAGAGAGTTCATGGGAGAGAGTACTCACCTTCCGAGTCCAGGGCCTGGATCTTCAGCTCTAGAGGGGAATCTTCGAGGTAGAGCTCGCGGGTAGTGGACACAATCTGAATGCCATGGATGAGGTCCACAATGGCATCGCAGCGCAGTACCTGGCCCGTAGCTACAGGGACAAGGAGAGGTGTCAGCACTGTGCCAGTGGCTTGCCACCACCACCCTGGGGCCTCAATCCTTGCTCTCTGGCAGAGAGGAGAGCAGCCAACAAAACAGCACCATCACAGGGCTCGGAGAGCTGAATCCACCCTGCAACTCCAGGTGTCTTAGCCCTTGGAGACATCTATCTGGGTCCTCAGGGCTGAAGGGTTTGGGACATTTCCACTGCCCACCAGGGCAGATTACACCTTGCATGTAGGTTTGTTCAGAGTGTATTCAGGAAGTTACATAAGTATGAGGACTTAGCATACACAAGAAGATATCCCCATTTGGCAGCCCCCTGTCTACACTGAGGTTAGGGACTGCACTTATCTTTGCTTGCTTGTTTGCTTATGCCGATGCCTTTATCAACTACACTAATGAACACATTCACTTACTCTATAAGTAAGCTGCACAAGTGGCACTACCCAGAGAGTTCTTTAAGTGTAGGGTGATAGCATGTGATACCAAGTTATTCTGATCATTCTCCAGGCACCATATAAAAAAATACTTGCTCACTGGTAATATTTTTCTGGAAAGCAATATGTGTGTCAAAGGCCATACATATGCTGCGGGGTGTGTGTCTATAGGCCTGCATACTCAAAAGGCTGGAGGGTCCCTCGTGTCTAGAAGTTGGAGCCCAGTCTGGGCACCATAATGAATCCCCATCTCAAAAAAATAATTTCATGTACTGTGAACATGTAAAATAGGGACACTATCCTAGGAAGGGAATTAGCAAAAGAACCAGAAAGAGTTGTCTGTATTAAAAAGATTTGTCTTTACACATACCCCTGAAATGAACATCTGAGAACATTCTAAATGCCCGCTATAAGGGAATGCCTATAGGACAATATCCTGCTAAAAACATGACAGGGCATTAAAAACAGTCCTATGGCAGGGGCTGGGGTGTTCCTTGGAGAAAGACCCTTCTTTAGCATGTGCAAGGCCTTTTCTAGCATGTACACCAAAGGACAATGGTAATAGTAATTCCATAGTAAACTAGAAGGCATTTCATGGGTGGTGGGAAAGCCTCGAGAGCTGTTCCATTGCTCTGTGAGCACAGCTGGGTCTCTGTAATCTTGCATTCCAGATTCTCAGATCTAGCCAGCCACAGACTGGAACTATTGAGCAAAATATTCCCCTGGCATTGAACATGTAGAAGTCATTTTCCTCGTTCTTATTCCCTACCAACACAGTATAATTTTCTGTAGTATTCACATCGTATTAGATATTGTATGCAATCTAAAGATGTTTTAAAATATTCAGAAGGATATACATAGGTTTTACATCAGAATTGTGGCTTTTTATGTGATTTGAGCCTCTACATATTAGTACTGGAGGGGGTCTGTCATCAATCCTTCATAGATACTAAGGGGCAACTGTATTTTAAAACCATACTATAGTAAATATGAAGAAAGATACAGAATCATGTATTAGATTGGGGCAACTTTATGCATCTTAACGCCAGTCAACCAAAACTCCTTTAGCAAGAGGAAGCCACATGCAGGCGTAAGGGGTGGCTGGACACTGTTTGGGCTACAGCAGCGCTGGTGGCCACTGGTCTTGATAGTTTGTTTCCTTGTCCCTCACCCCCTCACCCTCCCAAGGACCACACTCAGAACTCAAGCCCTTACTGATGTCCTCGGCAAAGATGATGCTGGTGAGCCGGGCGGGTTGTGTGAGCCGGGCCTGCACCACGGCTTTCTGGGAGCACTGGCGTTCATCCGGGCCCAGGGGTTCTATGCTGGCTACTTCTGGCCGGGTGGACAACCTGTAGTGAGAAACAAGAATTCACTCTGGAGTTACACTGCTGCAAGGCATGGCTGGGCCAGAAGCCAGAGTCATCCATCTGGGGCACTGTCCTGGATTCAAACACAGCACAGAGAAAACACACCAGGTTCAAATATTCTCAGAGGAGAAAAGGCACTCAACTGGGGTTCTTCCAACAAGACACCTGGCACCTGAGGGCAGGACCACTACACAGGGCAAATCGAACCAGAGAGTCCGCAGCTGGGAGTGGCTATTCAGTCAATGGTCCCTGTCCAAGGCTGCTCTGTAGAGAGGGACAGCAGCCCTTATATGCAGGGGACACATGCTTAGACCCAGTGTGTATCTGAAATGGTCAATCGTGCTAATCCTATCTGAGCTGTGTTTCCTTCTATTCATCAACTCTATCTTAAAGTTTATTTTGTAAATTAGGAATGGAAGAGATTAACAATACACAAAACAGAACAAGGGTAACCATACACAGTAATAGAAGCTACTAAAGATTACAGATTGAATTATTTATTTCTAAAATTCTCCATTTAACATTTTCAGAGTGCAGAAGGCCCCATGGGTAACTGAAAGATGGAAAGGTGTCACAGCGAAGGGAACTTCTGTAATTCTCTGTCAGCAGGAAATCCTCCCACGGTGTTCTACAAATGACTGCTTGAGTGAGGAGGGAACACCAGGTATCCTGGCTGACCTACAGCACACGCTAGGGGCACAGCAGGCACCCTGAAATCTTCCTCCTTCCCCAGAGAGCTTCTGCAGATCCTGCAGACCAGTAACTATAAAGACAACACTATTACAAAGTCCTGTGCACGCAGAGTGAGAATCCCTTGTGCCTCCTGAATGTTGATGGTGAGTGTTTCTCTAGTATGGAGTGAGGCAGATGCAGGCATCAGTAAGTGAAATAGGGTAGTGTGAGGAGGCTTCCCATACGATGAAGAACAGGGAACGACAGCAGGCACTGCCCGGGTTCTCACAGTGGTGGATAATCTTCACTGGTGACTTGACTGGCAGGAGAGATGATTAAGGGATTAGGAAAGCACACATCTGGGAGCACCTAGGTGGGTCAAGGGGCTGTGACCCTGGAGACTAAGTTCTGGCCCCTTCTTCTCAGAGTCTTCTCCTGTGCTCTGCTTCCTGTCTACCACAAGACAAGCAGCTCTGCTCCAAGTCTCTGCCATGGTGCTTCTGCCTTGGATCCAGTTCTGTGAACTGAAACTTCTGTAACCATTTCCTTCTTTGCTGGCATAAGTATGTCATGGATTTTGTCCCAGCCACAAAAAAAGTGATATGCATTCACTGCTTTCCTATCACTGGGACAAAATACCCAATACTTGCAAATTAAAGAAGGAGAGTTTATCTTATGGCGCAGTTTCAGTGGGCTCAGCCGATGATCAGTTGGCTCTGAAGTCAAAATAGCACTGGGAAGGGTCTAGCACAGTAAAGCTGCTCACAGTACATAGGTGAGGAGCAGAGCCAACAAGGAGGAGCCTGGGCCCAAAGGCATCCTTCCAGGTCCCACCCCAGGCTCCCACCTCTTCTGACCAGGCCTCACCTCTGCACACCATGGGACTTAGGGGACACTGTTGGTCTAAAGCCCAACAGTGAGGGCCTGCCCCTTAGCTCAGTTCTTTTTTTTTTTTTTCTTTTTTTTAAGGAAGGAAAGGTTTATTTAGCTCACAGTTACTGGAGGTTTCAGTCCATACTCATCTGGGTCCAATGCAGAGCAGCACAGAGCAAAAAGCAACCTTTCATGGTGGTGGCAAAGAGCAAGAGCACAAGGGAGGGGTAGCAGCAGCTCAGGCAGCTAGCTTCTCTTCCCACCTTACATTGTAATGTAAATTACCTGCCCCAGGGCAGGTGCAGCATCCACACCCACAGTGATCAATCACAAACTCCAGAAGCTGCCCCAAGACTGCATGCATGAGGCTTTGGGGGGACACCTATACACAAACCATAACATTCTGCCCCTGGACCCTCAAAGACTCATGCACATCCCTTTATGCAAAAGACATTCTAGTCCATCTCTATATTGCCAAAGTCCCAACCGTTTCAGCATTGCTGAAGATTCCAAGTCCCAAGTCTCCTCCACGATCCAAGGCAAACTGTCAACTGTGAGCCCCTGTACAAATGAAAACTTAAACACTTGCAACATTCAAAGGCACAAGATAAACACTACCATTCCAAAAGGTACACACAGCAGGATAGCAAGCTTTGGGACCAACACAAGTCCAAAATCCAGCAGGGCAAGCATTAAGTCCTCCAGTTCCATGTGGGACATCCCAAGTAATCTGTGATGAGTTGTGAGCTTCATGAGGCTCCGCCTCTGTGGCACTCGTGGTGGTAGCTCCCATGGCTTCTCTCTTAGGCTGGCTTTGCTCCCTCCTTGCAGTTTTCCTTAGATGATCCACGTTCCTGGCTCTTCCAAACTTCTGGGGTTTCCACTGAATAGGCTTCTCTCTCTCTTCTTCACACATTGCCCTCCCAGGGGCACACCGCCTGGCCTCCCAGGCCTTCTTCTGAAATCGAGGTGGAAGCCTTCTTAACCTCAGAACTCCTGCATTCTGAATGCGCCTAAAACGTGTGCCACGTGGATGATGCCAAGGTCTGCTGCCAGCTGGAGCAGTAGCCAGGTTTCCTTTTCTCTTGGCTGTAGGGGTCGAGTGGCTGGATGGCTGAGCACTCTTCCAAACCTGCCCTGATTTGGAGAAATAATTTCTGCATGCCGGTGCCATTCTGGAACATGGTGTGGCCGCCACCGCCTTTCTGGAACATGGGGCTCATCGGCTTTCCCTTCAAGGCAAAGTCCCTGACCTTTGCAGCTCAGAGGCAGCAAAGGGTAGAGACCTGCCTCCTCCTGTGATGCCCTCAGGCCATCCCTTCCATTCTCAGGTTCCTTCCCGGCAATGGAGATCCTCTCAGCTCAGCTCCATCGCTGCAGTCTACAGCTTTCTTGGCGCTTTCTTTCTGGCCTAGCTCACAACACTTTAAATCCTCCTGCTGGGCTCCTTGCTCTTTATTCTCAACATTAATCTGGCTAAAAGCCCCCAGCAACCACCAGGCCACTGCCCCAATATTTGGCTGCTTTGAAATATCTTTTGCCAGATTGATCAGTCCATCATGCTTAAACTCAGTCTCAGGCAAAGTCTCTGGACACGAGCAAAATGCAGACAACTTTTCTGCCAAGTCAAAACACAATTGGTCCAACAACCAATTCAGTCCTTCCCAGCAGAAACCTCCGCAGCCTGGACTTTACAGGCTGGCTTCCAGACAGTCTTCTGGTCTGAGCTCTGACCAGAATCTCCCAAGCAAAACAGCCGAAGCTGTTCCAGCTCTTTGCAAGTAGAGGATTTCTCCAAACTTTTCCTATCTCTTCCTATAAGCCATTCCCAAAACCTTGTAATCCACATGGTCAGGTTTATCCACAGCAACGACCCCACTCCTGCGGTACCAAATTCTGTCTTAGTTACTCTTCTCTCGTTGCTGGGACAAATACCCGACACTCAAAATGAACGAAGGAAAGGTTTATTTAGCTCACAGTTACTGGAGGT